GAGGTTATCCCAAGAGAAACCGGAGAAGTGGGATGAATACGTGGCTGCACACTATTCGCTTATCGCGAAGTCCCTAATGCTTCCACCGACTTTCCGCCAGCAATGTTGGTTTTTGGGAGGCCCATTTCTGGACCTTTGGCCATTCTCAGAAAAACGTGGACGGACGAAAATGCAGATGAGACCTTGAGGACCACGTCACAGTACGTGCAAGAACTCAAGGAGAAACTGAAGCTAGGTTGGGACCTAGCTAATAAGCATTTGAATCGTGCTCGTCAACGTTACGCAGCACACTTCAACAAAAAGACCAAGGAACGTAGTCTTGATGTTGGAGATAAAGTTCTGTTACTTTTGCCAACGGGGAGATCCAAGATTGATTTAGCTTGGGCAGGCCCTTATTCCGTGTTGGAAAAAAGGGTCCAGAATGCACTACAAGATAAGTGTGAAGGGTAAGTCGAACGTTTACCATATTAATCTTCTCAGAAAGTATAATGAGAGAGAGGTAAATGGACCTGAGACTCTGTTAACACTGTCTGTAGCAATGGAGGTGGACGGAGGAGAAACCGCTGCGGTAGAATATCCTCTCCATCCCGGGGAAACATACAAGGATGTAGAGATTAACCCTGCTCTCTCCTTGTCCCAAACTGATTGGCTCGCATGTCTCTTATCGGAATATACTTCCGTGTTCACAGAGAAGCCAGGGCGTACATCGTTGATCGAATATGATATGAAGTTGGTGAGTGAAGAACCCATTCGCCAGCGCCCTTTTCAAATCCCCTTTTCTAAGGAGGAATCCGTTAGAAAGGAGATTGAATATTTGCTAAAGGAAGGTGTGATTTCACCCTCAGAATCCCCCTTCAGTGCGAACGTTGTTTTGTTGAGGAAGCCTTCGGGGGAGCACCGATTGTGCATAGATTATAGGCAGTTGAACAGGGTGACGGAGTTTCTTCCTGAACCCCTTCCTGACCAAAGTCTTTTGTTTGCCCGGCTCAACAAAGCCAAGTACTTTTCGAAGATTGACTTGGGCAAGGGGTATTACCAGATACCGGTTAAGGAAGAAGTTCGTAAATATCTGGCCTTTAGCACTTCGGACGCTCATTATCACTTTAATGTCCTTCCGTTCGGAACCTGCAATGCTTGTGGGGTATTCACCAAAATGATGAGGTTACTTTTAGATCCTCTAAAGGACCCCACTATCATCAATTTTATGGATGACATTTTGGTGGCTTCCGAAACGTTTGAAGCACATATTCAGTCCTTGCAGAAACTGCTGCATCGATTGAAAGAAACAGGCCTGACAGCCCGACCCACTAAGTGTAAACTGGCCTGGCCCAATCTCGAGTTCTTGGGACACACTGTGTCCGAAGGTACTATCAGACCTGAATCCAAGAATGTCGAGAAACTCCGGAACGCGTCTAGACCACGTACCCAAAAGGAGGTCCGTTCATTTGTATCTTTGTGCGGATACTACCAGAAATGTATTCCAAATTTCAACTCCATAGCTGCTCCCTTAACGGATGCGCTTAGGAAGGACCATCCTGAAAAGGTATGTTGGACTCCTGAATGCGAAGATGCCTACAACACGCTGAAAGAGAAATTGACGTCTTCTCCCGTGTTGCAGTTACCCGATCTGTCTAAACCCTTTGTGTTGAGGACGGACGCGAGTGGCATCGGAACTGGGGCTGCACTACTCCAATCTGGAATTCAGGACCCGGAGATTTTGTTTCCTGTCGCCTACGCCAGTCGAAAACTTAATGTGGCCAAACGCGGTTACTCCTGTATAGAGCGGGAATGTCTAGCGTTGGTCTGGGCGGTCCAAAGATTTCAGCCGTATTTATATGGTGTGAAATTCACTGTGCAGACGGACCATCAACCTTTCGTGTTCCTGGCTTCATCTGCCCACCTGAACCCAAGGTTGATGAGATGGTCGTTGCTGCTGCAACCCTATTCTTTCACCGTTGAATATATTCCCGGTGGTCAGAATGTGGGAGCAGACTTTTTGAGTCGCCACCCTTCGTCTGCTGACGTGCCCACTGAGGATGGGGACAATGTTGTGGGACCTGAACCTGTTGACGGCTAGGTGTGTGATGCTGTCGTTCGATTCGCGTGACCGCTCATCTCCTTTGGGGGAGCCCTGTTGCATGACAGAATCCACACACCTACCGCATTAGGCAGGTCCACAGTCTGAACACCCCCAAAATCGTCATTGTAACTATGATATAGGATAGGCCGACCGTAGTTATATAGTTCGTTTGTTGTGGGGGAGTCCAGATAAGAAAAATCCCTATAATACACTCTGATATTGATTCTTTTAGGCTTTTAGTGTCGATTTACACGTTAGGACACATTTTCTACATTTTCTATTTAAAATAAATTGTCTGACCGATGCACCGCATACGTGAGCAGGATTTTTACACCAACTGCTGTAGTTGGGGACTGTATTTTTATGCGTCACTTCTCTATGGTCCAGTCTATGAGGCAGACGTATTCCCTTGTTGTTGCCACTTGACCGTTAAAAAGACAAGATTCTTTATTCTCTTTTCATTTATCATGGGATTTTTTGAAGATCTAGCAAGCGTCCGTGGAGCAGTCTTGATTTTCCACCAACCGACACCTGGAAGCAACTGACGTGTGGTGATCTGCCTTTGCTGAATGTGTGTACTGTATGTAAAGCTGACATCTTCCGGTCTTTGGGAAGCTGATTGCCCTTAATCAATTCCCGAAGTATCATCATCCAGGTGGAGTCTTTCTGTGCAATGAGACAGTACTGAATTATACTTTCAGACACCCTGAGGAGCTGCTGGATCCAACCAGATAAGTCGTAGTAATATCCAATAGCGGCTAGATTCCAGATGTGCCTTCATAATCCGTCTCCTGCCTCCCAACCGTGATGATACCGGAAAGAGACATAGATTAGGAAGAAGACTTTTTCTCTGTCTTTGTTCTTTAGAGAATTCAACAATCTTTCATCTGATTCTTCATGCTACTTGTGTTCTTTCTTGTTATGAAGTAATTATTACAGTTAATTTATAGTTCACTAGTCTTGCTGTTCTTAGCTAAGTCGCTGTGGTGAATTAATTGTCATAGTCAGAAAGGTATTAACGTCTTGTCATATTCACTGTTGTTTACTTGTTTGACTGTATTACGTTGTATAACAGTCTGGGGGCAAAATAGTGATGAGGACGTCTGGCCGAGAGGCACCCAAGTGTTCATAATAACCCTGTGGAGTCAGAGCTCGAGTCACCTCATCCCTGAGACAGGTTGAATGGAATGTTTGAACCGAGGGTTAGGCCTCTAGATGAACGAGAGCCACCATTCAAAACACTCCTGTCTCAGAGCACCTGAGGGATTTGTGAAAATATTCCGTTAAGTAAAGGTGCGCGACAAAACTGCCATACGACAGTCATCTTACAGTCTACTGGCATGAGAAACAGAAACTGTGTCTTTCATCATCTTACAGTCTACAGGCATGAGAAACAGAAACTGTGTCTTTCATCATCTTACAGTCTACTGGCACGAGAAACAGAAACTGTGTCTTTCATCATCTACAGTCTACAGGCATGAGAAACAGAAACTGTGTCTTTCATCATTTACAGTCTAATGGCATGAGAAACAGAAACTGTGTCTTTCATCATCTACAGTCTACTGGCATGAGAAACAGAAACTGTGTCTTTCATCATCTTACAGTCTACAGGCATGAGAAACAGAAACTGTGTCTTTCATCATCTACAGTCTACAGGCATGAGAAACAGAAACTGTGTCTTTCATCATCTACAGTCTACTGGCATGAGAAACAGAAACTGTGTCTTTCATCATCTACAGTCTACAGGCATGAGAAACAGGAACTGTGTCTGTCATCATCTTACAGTCTACAGGTATGAGAAACAGACACCCAAACAAAAAGTAATATACTAAAAATACTCAAGCTAAACATTCACCTCTGTGTTACCAGAGTCTTTACAGAAATTAAAGAATCTCATCTTGATTCTCTTGTACCTTGCTGTGTTGAGGTGAAGTATAATTTGTGGGGAAAGTGCCAGCATGCGTCCTTCATAGATTGAGATTCTCAGGGACTGTTATTCCCTTTGTCAATCATTTGTATGATCGGCCTCTTCTTTGTTTCCCGCCTGGTCTGTACAGCACTGCTTGCTGTGTTGTACTATTTGCTGGCATCCGCGTTACATAACCAAATCATTTTAAAAAAAATCAAATCCAATGCTGCAGCTGACCTCCTTTTTCCTTTGTTTCTGATTTTCTCTATTCTTGTTAAATTAACTGTCCTTTGCAGGAATCTGATTTCAGTTGTAATTTTTCTTTTCTCATTTTTCTGACATTGTCCATTGACAGCACAGGGTTGGCAAGAAAACAGTATCATAGAGCCCTCTTTTGGTTTCTACTGACATGTGTTTGTTTCTTAGTATTGGTACCATTTGCCCAATGAGTTGGTTTGCTCTGTTACATCTGTCATTGATATTGTCTTCTGATTTGCCAGCTGACAATATTATGCTTCCTATGTAAAGTTCCAGGTTTGTTTCAGTGGCTGTTCTGTAAGATATAAATTTATTGCTTTTCTACTTTGGTTATGGTCATGACCTGTTTTGTTGGCATTAATTTTAATGGCATGTTCTTTGCAGATTTGGTTTAAATCAAATATATGGTCTTGCAGTTGTTTCTGAAGCAACAATTAGTGCTAGGTGGTCCACAAATAGTAGTTCTTTGATCAAAGAAGACTAACACCATAATCTACCATGCAAATCATAAAAGGTGATTTTGGAGACAGACTACCTCATCCGATAGAAAACTTTAAAGCAAGATCTAACATCATGAACAAGTTTAGAAAGAACCTGATGTGAGCTGTCGTAGGTCCCTACGATTCTTTCTGAGAGGAAAGGCAGAAGACGAAAGCAAAACAATTGTTCAAAACAGAAAACAGAGTTTTATTCTAAAAACTAGAAAACACAATCTTGTTCTCTTGCAGTGAACACAGGTATCACTAGACTTACATGTTTCAGGTTGGAGACATTGATTTCAGAGAAATCGCTGTGAACTTCTGCCACATCAGGAAAATAGTTGACTGTGTTACCATGTTTGCTAGTGTGGGCTGCAACAGGAACAAAAATTATCTCTGATTCTATAAGTTACAATTTCTACTGACAACCATGGTGTACTTATGATAGAGAACACTTACATACAGTGTATTTCAGAACTCATACAAACTCGTATTCACTTTAGAAATAAAGCTAGTTTTGATTTACACTGCCACGTGGTATTTTCCCATCATCATGTGCCCCAACGGGCAGCACAGGTCACCATGTCTCTCCATAGACACCTGTGTTCTCGACAAGTTTAACCACTAATTGTCTTTCCTTAATCTTTGTCAAACCATTCAGCAATGCCTCTCTGTCAAACCATTCAGCAATGCCTCTCTGTCAAACCATTCAGCAATGCCTCTCTGTTAAACCATCCAGCACTGCTTCAGTATCATACCATCAGCAAAGTTCTCCATCTGGTTCTGGATGAGTCTGACCATGCCTCGGTACCACACCACCAAGCAGAGTTCTCCACTTGGTTTTTGATAACTGTGATCATGCCTCTCTATCATACTATCCAGCAAAGTTCTTAATCTGGTTTTTGATAAGTTCAGCCTACCTCTTTCTCATACTATCCAGGAAATTTCTCCATCTGGTTCTAGATTAGTGTGACCATGCCTTGATATCATGCCATGAAGCAAAGTTCTACATTTGGTTTTTGATAACTTTGATCATGCTGCTCTATTTTCCCACTGTCACAATGTACGAATGTCAACATCATAAAACAGAATGAAGATGGTTTAAATCCCAATGAAAAAAGAAAAGAATGGTGTGATAGGCAAAAATGCACATCCCAAAAACCCAGTCAGAAGATCAAAAGGGTATCTATAATGACAAAAGAAGTACAGAACTTGATGCAAATAATGTGTAACATTCTTGGCTGTAGCAAGACTGCTGGAGGTTGATGAGGTGGAAACACATTGTTCTCACAGGTACCACACTTGTCCCTATCTACATGACCACACTATCTACTTAAAACAGGATCTTCTTGCATTTACAAATAAAATTCATACCTTGGCTTAGGGTGACCCTGAAGATTTGTTCGGCAACCAGGTTGATCTTTTTGTCCTCATCAATATCCACAAATGGACTGCTAATACTTTCAGAAGCATCTGTAAAATTGAGAACAAAATCATTCAAAAATTATTTGATTCTCTAATTCACAACTAGAATCAAAGATTGTTTAAATAATTCAGGATATTCTAAAGACAAACTTGTACGTGTGAAGACCCACACATCATCTCACAGCAAATACTTCTCCCTGGCTCTCTATGCCATCACAGTTCCAGCAAATACTTCTCCCTGGCCCTGATATGCCATTATAGTTCCAGCAAATACTTCTCCCTGGCCCTGCTATGACATCAGATTTCCAGCAAATATTTCTCCCTAGCCCTGCTATGCCATCACAGTTCCAGCAAATACTTCTCCCTGGCTCTACTATGCCATCACAGTTTCAGCAAATTCTTCTCCCTGGCTCTGCTATGCCATCACAGTTTCAGCAAATTCTTCTCCCTGGCTCTGCTATGCCATCACAGTTTCAGCAAATACTTCTCTCTGGCTGTCTATGCCATCACAGTTTCAGCAAATACTTCTCCCTGGCTCTGCTATGCCATCGCAGTTCCAGCAAATATTTATCCCTGGTCCTGATATGCCATTATAGTTCCAGCAAATACTTCTCCCTGGCCCTGCTATGACATCAGATTTCCAGCAAATATTTCTCCCTAGCCCTGCTATGACATTACAGTTCCAGCAAATACTTCTCCCTCTCCCTGATATGTCATCACAGTTCCAGCAAATACTTCTCCCTGGCCCTGCTATGCCATCACGGTTCTGGCAAATACTTCTCCTTGGCCCTGATATGCCATCACAGTTCCAGCAAATACTTCTCCCTGGCTCTACTATACCATCACAGCTCCAGCAAATACTTCTCCCTGGCTCTACTATACCATCACAGCTCCAGCAAATACTTCTCCCTGGCTCTACTATACCATCACAGCTCCAGCAAATACTTCTCCCTGGCTCTACTATACCATCACAGCTCCAGCAAATACTTCTCCCTGGCTCTACTATACCATCACAGCTCCAGCAAATACTTCTCCCTGGCTCTACTATACCATCACAGTTCCAGCAAATACTTCTCCCTGGCTCTGATATGCCATCACAGCTCCAGCAAATACTTCTCCCTGGCCCTGCTATGCCAACACAGTTCCGGCAAATACTTTTCCCTGGCCCTGATATGACATCACAGTTCCAGCAAATACTTCTCCCTGGCCCTGATATGTCATCACAGTTCCAGCAAATACTTCTCCCTGGTCCTGATATGTCATCACAGTTCCAGCAAATACTTTTCCTTGGCCCTGATATGACATCACAGTTCCAGCAAATACTTCTCCCTGGCCCTGATATGTCATCACAGTTCCAGCAAATACTTCTCCCTGGCCCTGATATGTCATCACAGTTCCAGCAAATACTTTTCCTTGGCCCTGATATGTCATCACAGTTCCAACAAATACTTCTCCCTGGCTCTACTATACCATCACAGTTCCCTTCTAATAAAGTAGCAAATTATCTGAACTCCTGTTATAGTCTTAAACAACCAAATTAATACTAACAGACAATCAATTCAGATGCACACAAAACCATCAGACTAAAATAATGTCTGTGTTTTCTTCCTGCCTTGATTTGTCTCTAGTTTAACTTGTACACTTCTGCTGCTTAAAATAAAATAAAAAACATACCATAGGAAGCTTGATGCATAATGTTGATCTACATCACAAATATTACCTGTCTCTGCTACATGATCTTCATTCTGTTCTGTAGCAACCTTTTGAAATTTGCAAGCAGCCTCATCTGTAAAAGCCTTTGCACTTTCTAAGCTTGAGAATAGGGCAGCAAATGGGTTAGATGCCAAGTCTTCATCCATCATTTACACAATCTGAAACATGATACCAAAAAATGATCTTTTGCGACCAAGCTAAAATAAAAATAGAATAACTGAAGCATATCTATTTTTTACTGCTCGATAAATATGTGTAAAAGTTGCCACAAGGCTCTGTTAATGTCACACTCATGTTCTCCTTTAGTTTGCTACAAGAGGAGTTAACTCGAAGATTATAGACGAGATGAAAGATGGTTGTGTCGATAGTGGTGATGATGATGGTGATGATGTCTTGCTTGCTGCATGCTTTTCACGTGACTCTGATGCTTGTATAATAAAATGTCTTGAAACAACTCATCTTTTCAATGTACTGTCTTTATTGTGATACTTCAGTAATGTCACAAACAACATCAAAGATTTTCTGAATAGCGCTGTGTTCTCTCTGTGGTTAAATACTCTTGAGGTCGCATTGTGTTCTTTATCTCTAGTTACTTTGTTAACTGGTTCTAGTGTCTGTAACAGCCACCTGGCTTCTAGTGCTGTCTGGTACTAACTGCTTAATCGTCGGCTCCTAACATCTTAGTAGTGTTTCTACCTAATGTATCTCTGTTAAACATGGATCCATGTATCTTGTATGTCGTCGCTGTAGTTCAAAGTCTCTATTCATGTCTCTTCTCTTGTGACGGTCTTCGAGGCTCTATGTGACTCTTCCTCTAATGTTGAGCTGGCATCTTTACAACTGCGAGGATCCATGTGACTAGTCCTTCATCTTCCAAGTCTCGTAGACTGAAAGATTCCCTAAGTGGTTTCTTACTCATTCTTTACACTGAGATGCTGGAATGCGTGGTGTTTGTTTTCTACTCACTTTGACTGCTTCTAGAATATTCTTGTATGCTAAAACTTGTATACTATGTGCGTTCTCATGTGAGATGTTCTAATTGTGTCTAGACTGCATCCTCTTGTTCTGCACATGAATATATACTAATTAAATTGACAGCTGGCCTCGTGGAGACTTCCAGAAAGCCAGTACTACTGCATTCTCTTTGACAGGGCTTGTCAACAATTACGTCATATACTATTTATAGATTATTCATTTACAAAATATTTCTTTGTTAATAACAAATGAAGGTTCTAGAAAAGGGAATGTCAAGGCTCCCAAAACTTGTTGATTCTGATATATCATAACTTTGTGCAATATCCTACCTCCTAACAAACAAGCAATGACGACTGCCTGCTACAAAATTGGAATAGCTGAGGTTGATCTTTTTTTGTTCTTTTACAATGAAACAAGTCTAGTGCTGAGTAAGGCTGGCAAACATGATAACACAGATCAGAATAACTGAAGTTTACCTTTGCTCCCAAGACAAAAGAATTACTGCTGAGTAAATCTGTTTATAGCTGTGACCCCGTCAAGGAACAATGACCCCATTATGAAACAACGACCACATCATGGAACAATGACCCAAACATAGAATAATGACTCCATCAAAGGGCTACTTTAGGCGAGTTTCTGGTGTGATAAACTAGAAAAAGCCTACAGAGTGATGAAGATATTACCAGGTAGTAAACAGGAGAAATATGCAGCAAGAAATGGCAATTTACAAAAATAAATGTTGCAAAATGACTGGCTAAACTCTCTAGGATTCCATGTATGTAAACACACACAATATAATGTGAAGGCAGTTATTCTGTTTATATGCCAATATAACAGAAGAATCAATTGTATTTATGGAAACAAAACAATAAAATAAAGAGAGAATGAAAATATTTGTTGAAAGAAGTAAAAATGAGACAAAAATATTTCAGCTACAGTAAAAGATATAACACTCTTTTAAAAAGCACACTAGAGGAAATATGTAGGCAAGTCAGAAAGAGGTGGACAGCAATATGGCATGATAATACAGATGGCATGATAACATCAAGAAATGGACCAGCAGCAGTCCCAGACTGTGTACAGTCAGGATGAGAGACAAAGAGTGTTGAAGATCTATTGCAGCCAGCCTTCAGTGTGGATACAGTTGTGACTGAGGGATTATGTAACATGTGACTTTCATGCATGTCTGCTACCCTCGATTTCGGAAATGGGTACAACAATTGCTTATTATTCTGCAGCCCTTTTAAAACAGTATTTGCTTGATGGTATCCCGAGATATCTCTGATAGTAAGATATCATCTATCTTAAATTCCTCTTATGTACAGCATGTAGTGACAGTGAATATACTTGGACATTACCAGATATCTAAACAATTCCATGTTAAATGAGGCTTCAACATTACAGGTAGGGTGCTTGGTTTATTGGTGAAGTAAAGGTTCACAAATGTTTTTTTATATCAGGAGACAAGTGTTCAGTACATCAATAACTAAGAGTGTGACAGGGTATATGAAGGAGCAGTGACAAGAACCAGCTTTAGATTTATACTAGAAGATTGGACAGCAGATTTTGACTGTGTCCAGCATCAGAAATTGCAAACTATTATGTAGAGTATGAATCTAAAAGGGAAATTAGAAAAGCTATCAAACTTCTGAAGGAAGGAAAGGTGGCAGGTCCAGATGGTATCCCAGCAGAAGCTATTAAGGCCAATATAAACACATCAACGGAATCGCTCCACAGATAATTTAGTAGAGTCTGGGAGACCGGAGAAATACCAGCAGACTGGAGAGAAGGATATCTTTTGAAACTGCCCCAAAAAGGTGATCTACAGGAGTGTGAAATCTATAGAGGAATTATGTTGTTGTCAGTTCCTTGAAAAATATTAAGTAGGATTATTTTAGAAAGACTAAAAGATGTTATTGATAAAAGTTTAGAGATGAACAGCCAGGTTTTCGGCCACACAGATCCTGTACTGACCAGACAGCGTCATTATGCATAATAAGAGAGCCAACAATTTAACTGAATTCAGTGAATTCACAACTTTACATTGGATTCATAGACCATGAAAAAGCTTTTGACAGCTTTGATAGGGAATTTGTCTGGAAATTAATGGGGCACTATGGAATTCCACAGAAAATTATTAGCTTAGTAAAGTCAACATATAAAGACATGAAATGTCGAGTTCTTCATGAGCGAAAGTTAACCCACTGACTACCAAGCCAATTAACCCTTGCATTTCCCCAGATACCGCATATTTTTGTGTATACTAAAAATGCCATAGCTGCACAACTATTTAATATAATCTGACAATATTATGTATATTTGCACCACAATGAATGAAGAACAAATTTTAAAAAAAAAATAAAAAAAAAAGTTTATTCTGTTTTGCATCATCATCATGTGGCGGTAGATTGGTGCAAAAAAGGCAACCGAAAAATATTTTACCTGACAACAATATAGACTAATAAAAATGTCATATCTTCAAAAAGTATTCAACAAAAATGTCTCATATTTTGTAATTTTTTTTTACACAAAATTGAACTCAGAACACATATGAAGAAACAAAAATAGGTTGCAAAAAAGGCAACTGAAAATCTTTTATCTGACAACAATAAAGACTAATAAAAATGTCATATTTTCAAAAATATTCAACAAACATATATAATATTTTGTATTTTTGCACAAAATTGAACCGAGAACACATGTGAAGACAAATAGTAGTTTACTTTGTCTGACATAATCATCATCATCATGTGGCTATAGATTGTTGAAAAAAAGGCAACTGAAATATCCTTTATCTGACAATAATTCAGACCCCCAAAAAATGTCACAGCTTCACAACTGTTCAAGATCACTCCATCCTATCTGATATTGACTGCACCAAATTAAACAGATAACAAATATCAAGAAAAATGTAGATTTACTGTTTGACATCATCATCATGCGGCTGTAGACATGGTGCCAAAAAAGGCAACAAAAAAATCTTTTATCTGACAGCAATATATAGAAAACCCATCCGTGACATGATGGATGATGGTGGCAGCAAATGGTGAGTGAATAAATAAATGTATGCTTTAGTAATAAAACTAAAGAACATTAGAAAAACACCACAGAACATCAAGTTAAATTTAGGAATTCTTAGAACGGATAAAGAAATTAAGGAACAGTACAACGTCACTGTACAAAACCGGTATAATGCAATGGAAATTATACAAACAATTGATGAACAGTGGGATATGTTGCGTGAGTCAATTCAGCAGACATCAAAAGAGACAATCCCACCAACCCATACAGTTGCAAAAAAGAAATGGATGTCAACCGAAATTCTGCAGTTGATGGATGAAAGAAGGAAGAACAAGAATGATAAAGAAGAATACTCTAGAATACAAAAAGAAATAGTGAACAAATGCAAAGTGGCTAAAGAAGCCTGGCTGAATCAAATGTGTACAGAGATTGGGGAAAATCACAGGAAAGACTCACATTCCATGTACCAACAGATAAATATGTTAACAAGAAAGATGACATGTAACAGCACTGGATGTTTGATATCAAAGGATGGTGACTTATTAATGGGACATAGTAATATAATTAACAGATGGACAGAGTATATAGGGGAATTGTATGATGATAATAGACCAGACGTAGAACTGCAGAACAACAATGATGGTCCACCAATAATGACTGCAGAAGTGGAGGATGCAATACATCATATGAAGAAAGGAAAAACACCCGGGCCAGACAACATCTCACTGGAAGAAATCGAAGCACTGGGAAATTTTGGAATTGAAACAATAACTAAACTTTTAAATGATAATTATAATAGTGGGTATATTCCAAATGACCTTTTAAAATCCATATTTATAGCTCTGCCGAAGAAACCAGGCACTTTAAAATGTAAAGACCATCGCACAATAAGTCTTATGAGTCACATGACTAAGCTTTTACTGAGAATAATTATGAGAAGAATAAGAAACAAAATTAAACCAGAAATCAGCGATGAACAATGTGGATTTGTAGAAGGAAAAGGTACAAACAATGCCATATACATCCTAAGGACATTGTCAGAAAGAGCTATAGAAGTAAAGACTGATTTGTACTTATGCTTCATAGACTATACAAAAGCATTTGACTGTGTGAAGCATGAAGAAGTAATCAAACTGTTAGAAAAATTAAACAT